TAACATCTTAATGCACTGTCGAAGGAATGGCGCGGACGGATGAAAAGGATTGAAGAAAAAAAGAAAGAAAGGAAAAAAGAAGAAGAAGAAGAGGAAGAAGAGGAAGAAGTAGGAGGGTTCGTGTATGGCGGCAAGGTATACGGGTCGTAGAAGAAGAGGGACAATAATTGGCAACATCTGTGACTTCTTGTCGTCAACTTGTTGTGTTGTATGTTCATGTGCCTGGGAACTCCTGGGAACTCCTGGGAACTGGGAACCCGCGCCACATTCACACACACGCGCGCACACACACACCACACACATACATACACACACACACACACACACACACACATACACACTCACACATACCCACACACGGCGCCTCACATACACGCTCACTCAGAGAGAGAGAGAGAGAGAGAGAGAGGCGGGCGGACAGACAGACAGACTAATAGACGTACAGACAGACATACAGACAGATAGATATACATACAGACAGTCAGCCAGACAGACAGACTGACAGACAGACTGAATGACAGGGATGTTTGCAATGCAATTGGTCTCCATGAGAGTAGCGTAGTCTACAGCACAGTGTCAAGCTAGTGTCTACATGATGCATGAACGCCGAGCCTAATACAGAAGTACATACGGACATACATACGTGCATACATACTTACATACATACGTACGTGCATACATACGTGCATACATACATACGTACATACGTACATACGTACATACGTACATACGTACATACATACGTGCATACATACATACATACGTACATACATACGTGCATACATAAAATATTGACCAAGATTACGCACTACACAATACCACGTCATTCCAGAAGATCAATACTATTTTGCCACTCTTCAGTGGGTTGGAGATGTTTTCTCAACTGTGTCCAGTTGGAAAGGTTTATTAAGGGTGATCTAGGAATCATAGACTTGTATCATACCATAGACCGGGCTTTATGACGTTATTTTGCTCAATTGCGGAGCACACTTTTTGAAGGGGGCTCTCGTGGCCGAGAGGTTAAGGTGCTCGCTCGCCTCTCTTTCAAAGGTCCCGGGTTCGAATCTAGGTAGCGAGAGAAAACTTTTCTTCTCTAAAATAATATCCTTCCACCTCCTTTCCTGCTCTCTAGCACTTTCTGCCCCCACCCCTTCACCTCCTTTG